TAGCAACATCTTCCCATGTTTGGATATGAACTCACTCCAATTGCATGTACTAATCTAGAGATTCCCCACTCAAACTGTCTTGGAAACAATGAATCATCAGCTTTTGATCTTGAGCATAGGCATGCATTTTTCTGTAATACATGCCTAGATGGTTCCTCGAGCATGTGAGTCCCTTATATTTTCCAAATTCAGGTACTTTGAATTTTGGAGGGATCAACACATCCTAAACTTGATCCATTTCAAGAGCACCAACGTCGAAAGCATCGTAACCCTCCACATCTTTCACCTTTCTTCAAGAGCTTTATACTGATTGAGAGCCAAGGGATTCTCAACTATCTTGGGTTTATGTGACTGAGTAGCACCTTTCAAATCGAGGTCTTTATATTGTAGATCTACATAGTTGTCTGTATTGTTGACCGAAATTTGCAAAGTATGGGATGCCCCTACCTTCATTGAAGGTGGGATAAACCTTCAGTATCAACTTGTCTGACTTATTGTTGAGCCACAACTGACTTTAGAGGTCCTGACTCTGGCTCTCTTCTTGGTGGATGATTGCTCGATGTACCAATAGTTTGGGCTACTTCTTCAAAGGCTGCCCTAGGAATATGTTCTTACCTTTCGATGATGTTCTTCAAGGCTAGAACAACTTGGCTCATATCTCCCTTCATCGAGTCGATGTTTCCTTTCACCTGCTCCAAATCTTACATAAATGTAGCTTGAATCTCTTCGATCTGTTCCATCACTTTCTTTTGATGGGCTCTTGTTTGATATGGCGGTCGGAGATGTGTCGCTTTTCTACCAATGGTTTAACTGGAGAGTGTTTTTGAAAAACAAATAAGTTTTTTGTATGAAATTATGGGATGCAATGTTTGCGAAAGCGTGGATGCGTGTGAATATGCTAAGAGTTTCGTTTTTTGAATGCCTTATTCACTTGGATTCTCTTTCATATTTTTTTATATATATTTTTCCAGATTTTTCTTTTTTATTGGTGGGCATCTCAAAAATAAATACACAACTGAGATAAAGGAAACAAAAACTTTATTATTAAAGAACAACTATCCTTAAAACGGGAATATAATTCAGATATTGAAAAATATTCAAACCAAAACATCAAAATTAACTTGCTGAAAGAAATAACAAAGGGAAACAAAAATATTTTAAGTGCGCCTACGAATATCTGCTCTGTAACCATCAACCATTGTCCTACAAAGCTTGGGGAAGTCTTCAACATATTTCAGAAGCGGGACCGTCACATTTTCTTTATCTCTCAAACTTCTAGGGATGTCACCAATGAGGTTGTTGGCTAAGAAGGTGAGTCTTGCATGCTTGTCTTTGTAGAACCGATATTCCTGGTGGAGGTCCGAAATTATCTGATGATTATCTTTTCCTGCCTTGGTGATCTTTGCGTGTTGCTCTTCCCAATAGAGTCTCCTTTGTATAAGGAAATTCAGAGGTCTTCTAACTCACGAGAAGCTCACTCATATTCATTAGTCTTTTGGGCGAGAAGTCTTTCTATTCTCATACTTTTGAGACGTTTTCTTTTGCACTATTCTTGGATATCTTGGAGTCTCGTAGTAAGATACTGAATTTTCTCTTCTTAATCTAAAGAAACTTGTGCCAAACTTTGAATTTGAGCCCTCAAAGTTTCTTCCATCTCCTTTTTGTCTTGCATCGCCTTTTTGTACCACCTACTTATCCTCCCGATTTCATTATCAGCATCCTCCGAAAGTTGGTTATGAGAATCCAAGTTGAAGGTAGCACTTAACAACCCTTCGGTTGAACGTTTTCATTTAAGATTCTCCTTTTCAAAAGCTTCACGCTCTTTCTGAATCTATTAGTCTTTTGACTCAAGCTCGCGTTGCATCTGTCTTTTCTCCTTAGCTAAGTTATGAAGGTTAAGCTCCAATTCCTCTTTCTCCTTTTGAGCTTGACTCAAGGATTTCTTCAAGTTGTATATTTATTCTAAGGACATAGGCAAAGGATCTGGGACATCTGGCTTTTACTCAAAATCAACGTCAAATGGTAACTTAACAACTTGCACCCTATCCAAAACCCATCGAGTGTAAGGTTCTTTCACCATAAAATTCTTTCTTTCAACCTTTCTTTTATTAACCCTATTCCAAGCTCGGGTGATCTTGTTGAGCAACTCTCGATGATTTCTGTCCATGTCATGAATGATCAATTGTTAAAGTTTTTCATCGGAGGGTTTATCCTCCAAAGGATGTCCAAGTTTTCGCAAAGCCAAAGTAGGGTTATAATTGATGCAACCACGTTACCCAGTCAACAGAACATTCAGAAAATATCCATAATTGTAAATGATATCTCCAATGTTTAGCTTTCTCGCATACGACAATATAGAGTCTTAGTGTCCTGCCCATACCCTACCCATTTCCATCCCTAATCTTAGGATCCTCTTATTTGATGCCAAGTGAGAGATCTTTGGTCTCTCCATAAATCTACTTGTAATACCGACATGAAACGCCAAATATGGCCGCGTACTGCACAAGTAATGTAACAATCCAATCAATCTCATATATAATGTTGGATCCATATCTTTCTCATCTTCACTTTTGGACATCTGCGACTTTGCTTCAGCTGGTGTTATGGAAGCATTACCATGCTCCGTATCACACTTTTTTTAAAATCTCAAGAGCATACTTTATTTGATACATAAGCACCCCTACTTTTTACTTATGGAACTCTATGCCAAGAAAGTAAGTTATGATTCCATTGTCACTAATTTCAAACTCTTCCATAAGCTCACTCTTGAATTTAAAAATATTCACTTCATTGTTGCATGTGATCAATAAGTCATCCACATATAAGCAAAGTATGATCACATCTTTGCTTGCATTTGTCTTCACATAAACAACATCTCTGATACACACTTCTTGAAGCCAAGATCAACTAGAAAAGCATCTATGAGTTTATTCCAAGCTCTAGGTACTCGTTTCAAACCATATACCGACTTCTTCAATTTGTAGACTCTTTCCTATTGATTCTGCACCACAAAACCTAGGGACTTATCTACATAGACTTCTTCCTCAAGTGGACTATCCAAAAATGCAGATTTTACATCCATTCGATACATTGACCAATTATTTCTATTCGCAATACCAACAACCATCCCATAGTTTTCAATCTAGCCACATGTGAAAACACCTCATCATAGTCTATACCTTCTCTTTGCAAAAATACCTTCGCTACTAGTCGAGCCTTATGCTTGAAAATTTCTCCTTTTGGATTTGCCTTCACTTTATAGACCCATCTCACTCCGATTGGCTTTTTCCGTTCCGGTAAATCAATCAGTTCCCAATTACTATTTTTCTCAATCGATTCCAACTCCTCTTTCATCGCACACACCCACTTTGAATTTCTTAATGCCTCCTCCGTGCTCACGGGCTCAGATTCATCCATAAGCACAAAGTGAATAAGATCACCATCATTGTTGATCTCATTATTATGGAATACTTCACAATCTCGAAGCCTTTGACGTAGACCTTGCGCCCTATTGGTCTTCTAATGGATTCACCATTTTAAACTTTGACCGACAGTTGAACTGCACCTGCAGAATTCTGCATTTCTGCATTTTCTTGTGGAAACTGGTTTTCTAAAACAGGGGAAACGGTTTCTGCTTCGAAAATTTCAGTTCCAGTAGCTTCAGGATGTAAAACCTGTGGAGGAAATCGGCTACCCTCATCAAAGAAACCAATTTCCAGTACTCTCATGGATTTTTTCTGCTGTCAAAGAATTAAAACTCGATTTCAGTCAAAAACGCGTAAAATCTTGTTTTCCATGTGAATTATGTAATACTTCTCAAGAAATTGGCCAATGCTCAAGAGATTATATTTAATTCCAGGAATGTATAACACATCTTTGATCAAGGAATGACTTCCATCTTTCTTCATGATCAAAACATCACCCACCCCGTCGGCCGCTAAAGTGGTGTCATCCGTGAATTTTACTCTACTCTTCGTGGCTTGATTCATTTTGACAAACCAATCTTTTCTACGCATCATATTCATTGAACAACTAGAATCCAAGTACCACTCATCACTTCCTTGGATTCTATATCGAATAGTTATCATTGCATTTTGCTCCGAACGCGTTTCTGCAGAATTTTCCACACTACTGCCCAACTTTTGACAACTGGTAGTGCTACTGTCCAACAACTTTTCAATGCCATAATTCCCCTTTGTGATCATGACCAGAAATGCATTATCATCCAACTCTTATCTTACAACCTTAGCTTCATCATCTTGGTTTTCTTTTGATTTTGCATTACATTCCTTTGTAAAATGCCCAAGTTTTTGACAATTGTAACACTTTAAACTCCTCTTGTAAAACTTCTTGGTGGTTTTGCCTTGACCATTACCTTTGGAGCTACTCTCACCTCTTTGTGCCATCGAACCCTTCGAATTTTGTGAATCTTTTCCACCAAAATTTTGAAAATTAGTCTTCTCTTTTGAATACCATTTTTCTTTCGATCTCTTGTTCTTCTCATTGAACTGTGCTAGCAGCGCAATCTCCGTGTTAACCTTATCATTTCCTCCTTCTTCCATTCTTTGTTCACGAGTCCCTAATGAGCGTTGAAGCTCCTCCCTGCTCATGGTAAGAATGCAAGATCTTGACGTTAAAGAATGCAAGATGTTTGATACCACATTACTATTTTTAGGCAATCTTGTACTAGATCTCTGTTAGATGAAAATAGTCTCTTTGAAAGGACACATTTTTGGTGTAATTACTGATTGTGTCGGTGGGTGACTTGGTGTATTGAAATATTATGCAACTTATAGATTCCATTAATTCACGCATAATTTCAAACTCGCCACCATATGATAACAAAATTATAGGTAACAATGTTGAAAATTCACAAAAAACTATTGACTTTTGGCAAAATAAAGTGCCCCATCATTACCGATTAAAATTTGACACATGCACATATGATTAGTATAAAAGCAAGTGGTGACTCTTGTGTTTCATGCACCAAACACACTAACATGGCATCCATAACCTTCCTAGTGTTACTTCTTCTTGCTCTTGTTATTCCCCAGGGGTTTGCCAACTATGAGAAACCTCCAATTTATCAGCCACCAGTGGAAACACCACCGATCTACAAGCCACCCCTAGAGAAACCTCCTGTCTACAAGCCACCGGTTGAGAAGCCTCCTGTTTACAAACCACCACTGGAGAAACCACCCGTTTACAAGCCACCAGTTGAAAAACCTCCCGTTTACAAGCCACCTACAGAAAAGCCCCCGGTCTACAAACCACCAGTCTACAAACCACCAGTTTACAAGCCACCAGTAGAGAAGCCTCCTGTGTATAAGCCTCCAGTTGAAAAGCCCCCAGTCTACAAGCCACCAGTTGAGAAACCTCCTATTTACAAGCCACCGGTTGGATATCAGCCACCGGTTTACAAGCCTCCATTCTAAGCTACCAAGCCAAACAAGTACCCTACGGCATATGATGCTACTTGTGTCTAGAAAATGCTATCTAGAATACATGTTAAATAAAAGGTGCAAATACAAAGCATGAAATATATATTGTTGTAATCTTCATTTCAATCCTTTGTTTACAATGTTATTGCCAAGACAAGAATGTGAGTGTAAACCAGAGAAAGAAAATTGTGCTTTTGTTCTCAATATTATATAATAAAAGCATTATGATTTAAGTGTTGTTTTATGTTGTATAATAAACATAAAGAATTAATAACGTTATTTTTTTGACATATAAGTAAGGTGCATGAAAACTGTCTTCAGAGACAAATATATGTGATAAGACAAATATGAAAGAAAAAAAATATATACCTTAATGATTCTCAAGTACTAGCTATACTTAAAACAAATGTTTTTTTATCTCTAAATTATTTAGGTTGGAGAAATTATTCACTCATATGAAAATGGTTTTCATAGATACTGCAAACCGATAAAACTAGTATGGTTTTCATAATAATTTAACGTCACCTCTTTAATGATAGTATAAGCATCTATAATTACTTGAGCAAAATATGGCTGTTGAAATACTTGTTTTAGCCTTATCATTGTTACACCATAGTTAGAAGTTAATTGCTAATTAAGTTTTTTCTGTTTAAGGAAAGTTTGTTACAAGTAGTTGTAGAGTTTGTTAGCTGTAACCACTTTTAATTAGCTATATATAATTCACTCTCATTTAATGTATAAGCTAAGCAATTATCACGAGAAAGTGCTTCATTCTTTTCACTACTCTTCTTGTTCTTCCTTGCTTCCACAAGCTCCATTCATGGAGTTTCTTGTTGTACATGAAATTGCAGCTGAGCTATCAGGCAAGCTCGCTAAAATCACACTTTGCTTTATGTTGTTCGATTTCTAGTTGGTTTGATTGATAATTTTTCTGTAGTTAGATCTCAAATACTGCTCATGTATTCTCTGTTTGCTGAGAATTTCGACGATATATGAAATTAAGAGAAATGAAGAAAGTCGAAAGAAATCACACTTTAAAAGGAATATGAGAATATTTCTTATGAAAGTTTCGACCAACCAAATTATGGACAATTTGATTATATTAAATGATGTCGAAAGTCTCTTTGCGGAATATATGGGATTTAAGTCAGTTCCGATTGTTGTATGAGATTAAGAAGTGAAAAATTATCCAAAACTAAAGAACCTATAGTGAAGAGGAAATACACTAGAGAGATTGTTAACCCACCCAATAACAATGGAGAACAATTGCCCCCTTCGACGACGAAAAATACGGTTGTGTTATCTGTAACTGAACTGATACATGTTCAAGCAAGTATAACAGGAACTTCGACAAATGCTTTTAGCAGTCCAGTTCTATCCCCAGTGCATACACGGGGTTCCCCAGCAAACACAAGACCACCAGCGATGAAAAATTTCAGGTATTTTGCGTCTGGATTCACAATACCAATGGACAGCCACAAATAGATTTATGGCATGCCAACATCCGTGATGGCAAGCATAAACAATAGTGCATCCATATTTTCTAACCCAAGAATGTCAACATTTTCTCCACTACAAGGATCAGGATCAAGAATTAATAACAAGGGTCGAAATATCTCACCCCTAGGACTCGCTGCGCAATTACGTAACCTAACAACGAATTCTGCAGCAGCGTTTAGATGACAAATAAATGATAGCAATCATGAAATAGTTGGTGTTCTAGCCCAACAAATGGGTACAATATTTAACCCTTTAATCCAAAGTTCTACTCCAACCAACCAACAAAACTCCCCGACGAATCAATAGTTGGAAGCGCAGATGGCGTGAATTGCATAATTATTTGGAGCTCTCCAAGCCCCAGTTGAAAAACCCGTCCGGATTGGATGAGAGAGAACCAAGGGTTAGTATTCGAAGAGGACCCAACAATCAACCAAGTGCAACCAATTTGGAAAAATGGTGGTGAAGTCAATCAAGGTCCCAGAATCGAACAAATAGCCTTAGGACACAAAGTATCAAAAGAGAAGTTGGAATATTTGATGGTGTTGTACCCCAAAATTTACCCTCTCATTTCTCAAAGGATCACCCTGAACCCTCGGGTTTTCTTCCATCCAATTTCAAGCTTTAAATTAATTTTTTTCCAAGAAAGTCATTCACAAGGGAAAAATGGTCATTTGCACACTAAAAAGTCAAACTTGGACTTTTGGATCAAAATCAAGTTTCAAGAATCATATTTCAGCAAGACATGTTAAAATATAAAGTTTGTTTCATCTAGAAATTCAAAAGTCAAAGTTACTTTGGAAAATTCAAAATTCAAAATACTTAGAATTTTTTTCTAAGTGTTTGAGAAATATGATAAGTTCAGAACTTTTGATTAGATTATCACCATGATGCAAGCTGATTCTGGAAGAACTTATGGCACAAAAGTTATAGAATTCAATAAGATCTAAAACATTGCAGAACATAACTTCTCTTGGAAATGCTGGAATTTCAAGTTATAAAAGTTCAAAGACACGTCCATGAAACTAAAGCACTCAGCAAATTCTGGACACTTTCAAGACAGAGTTGGGTAAGAACTTCAAGGCCAGTTTTCATAAAGGTTCAGTCAGGGTTTGCAAGGGTAATACAAAGAAGGTTACAAAGCATGCTACAAAGCTTCTTGAAAAGTTTGAGAGTTCCTTCAGAACATGCTGGGGCAAGAAGATACAAGGATCAGAAGATGGATGTTTATTCTAAATTATGCTGAAGCTGAACCTCTAACCCAGAATCAAGAAATGATGTAAAATCTCACATTGCAGGATTTTTGGTTTGATAAATCTCATCATCATTTAATGCTCACAACTAGTTTTGAGTCTTTATCCAAAGGATTTCCCCACGTGTGGCATAAAAGTACCATTACTGTCTTGGAAAATCAAAGTCTTGTACAAGAGTGTGCTGGGCCCATGTGTTGCTTTTTCTTTTGAAGTTACCTTTCCTTAATTCCTACTTACATTTCCAGCTTAGGCGCTGCTAAGTCTACGAACCACCATACTTGATCCAAGAACAAGGCAGCTTCCATAGCATGTGATAGTTGTACTCTCCAAGCTACAAGATTTTTGCCTATAAATTGAGAGCCATTGGCAACGGTAAAAGGGCCGGTCGAAAAAAGTTAGAAAGAAAAAGCCTTGAACCCCTACTAAAATTCCAAGAGTCCAAAGTTGCAAACACAACATACAAAACCTGTTAACTTTTGATTCCTTGCATTCAAAATCCATTTGTTCTCAAGTATTTCTTGACTAAAACCATCCACACAGTTTTGGAGCAAGTATGGTTGTACTCTCCAAGCTACAAGATTTTTGCCTATAAATTGAGAGCCATTGGCAACGGTAAAAGGGCCGGTCAAAAAAAGTTAGAAAGAAAAATCCTTGAACCCCTACTAAAATTCCAAGAGTCCAAAGTTGCAAACACAACATACAAAACCTGTTAACTTTTGATTCCTTGCATTCAGACTCCACTTGTTCTCAGGTATTTCTTGACTAAAACCATTCACACAGTTTCTGATTCACATATTAGAAGCTATCCTAACTTCTGTGTTCATACTGTAATACACTCTCCACCCCCCTTCACCTCAAAGGAGTCAGAACATTACCACTTGGCTATTCCAGAAGTTGAAAACTTCCAGCCTGCTGAGTACGTGAGGAAGCTGCTCAGAACATCACCAGAGTTCAGGACCAAACTCCAGTTCACAGAGTCTTTTTCAGCTACAATGTAAGCTTCTACTGACTCTTGTCATATTACTTGAACATTGTTAGATTTTCACTTTCAAAAATACAATGTAGACATCCTTATTCTGATGCTGTACATATTCTGAGGTTTCATGTATTTGCCTGCCTAAGTAGGGAGAATTTCAGTTCATAACTTTTTGAAGAAATTAAGACTCGGGATTAGGATTAGCAAATTCATGTTTTCTTCTGATTTATAGTTCTGATATTTCTTGGTTCTGAAACATTATGAAACTTGCCATAACTTTTATATGCGCATCTTCTATTTTGTTGAGAAATGACTAAGTTGCAGATGTTCTGACTAACATGGAGAGGGAGACCAAGTTCTGCCAGTGGTATCAGAACTTCTAAAATCTTCTTTGTTCCCAGCGGATCTAGAACTTCTGACTTTACCTATTTTTACTAATATGATATTTGTTTTGCAGCACGCCAAAGTCAGAACTTCTGACCTCCTTTAGTCAGCAATACGCTGATTCTATTTTCTTTTTCCTCACTATTATTGCTATCACTTCTTATTGCATTAATCAAAAAACACCAAAAAACCGTTTTTCATTTTTACATATTTTACTTTATTTCTTACAACAAAAAGATCAAAAATATTTTCTTAAACCAAACTTATCTCTTTTCTAAAACAAAACAAGTTCATTTCACATTTCCTTATACATTCTTATTCATTCAATATGGTTGTAATAGTAACTTAAGATTTAATTTTATTTGCAATCCCCATTTTTAAATATGTAACCCTATCCCCTAATGCTTTTAATAACGTAGAATATCTATTTTCTGCACTTTCTATTGCTTTCATATATTGTTAGTAATTAGGGTGTGTATGGAAAGACATGAAATTGACAAGTAGATAACCCTAATCAAGGCTAAAAAATGCATGCAACCAAACACACTTGCACACTAGCACCCTTAGGGTAATCCCACCTTGTTGCCCATCAAAAATATAGTCATGTCCCTCGAACATGGGCGTTTAACAAAGACCCTCGATAAAAGATCGTAGTCCCTCGATGACCCTCGACGTTGCCTTCGGTATATGATCTAGTCCCTAAACAATATTGCTAAAACGTCCCATAGGTTGCCTTCTGTGACTATAGAAAAAACGTCCCGCGCCCGTCCCTTCACATCCAACGATGGGGCTTCTTACCAAAACAATGGTAAAGATAGCAACATCTAAAGGAGGAGGAAAAGAACACCTAAGGCCTTTTGAGTAGGTAGATTCGCTCCTAGTTA